TCTTAGACAGAGGCCAACAGTTCTCAGCCATTAACTCTCTTTAGGACTCAACCACCACCAACACCCAGCAACACTCGGATGGTGTTGCTGCTCTTTGATGTCATTTTTAGTAAGTTCCAATTCTATTTATTCTAGAGGTGACTGATCTGTGCCAGCAGAGAATCTGGAGAGGATGGAGTAGGGAGAATGGAAGAAAGGAACATGTGGATGTGAAGCCATGAAGGACCAAGGAGGAGCGGGGTCCTTACCTGGGGCAGGCAGTGGGACCTGGCAGGTAGTGGGCAACAGACAACCACCTCCACACACACACCCTCAACCCCCACCCCCATCACAGGTACATGGTGATGGAGAAGGCAGCCTGCCAGGCCGCACCCACCCTGCTGGGAGTACCTAATGGCTGGTGACTAAAGAGCTCACACATTTGGGCTGTCCACAATACATTCAATATTCTATTCCAACACTATCATTTTAAGTGCACCAATTCTTCCTTGTGGATATGGGCGTGGCCAAGAGGCCAAGACCATGGCTTAGAAATCCACTGGCATTTCCTCCTCATGCAGGTTCACGTCCTGCCAATTACATCGAGAATTTGACCCATGTTGAAATTGGTGATTATGCACCACCGTTATTACCTTTGAGTTCACAGATGATAAAGCATAGGTTTGAAAGTATTCAAGTGAACCCCCAAGCAGTCCACGGGATCTGGACTTGAATCCAGGCAGTTGGACCCCAGAGGGTAAGCTCTTTGCCAACTCAGCAATATCGTCTCCCTCTGGGAAACTACCCAATCTACTGTCTGTGTGCAAAAATGAGAACTGCAAGTTCCAATCTGGATTGTCAAACTACCAAGTCCATCCCCTTCCCCAAAGGCCACTAAGGAGTTGGAGGAAACTCTCTGATGCGTAAAGGGCTCTAGGCTTTGTCTAAGGTCCTTTTGGAATGGGAACAAGGAGTGGGATCCTGGGGAATCCCTGGAATGTGAAACCAGACCACCTATGTCCTGTACCCACAAAGTCCTACAGCACTCATGGACCCTTTCTCTTCAGGAATAAAGATGTTTATAAAACTATCATACCCAGTAATCCAGACCTGCATAACATGCCCCCCAGACTGTACAAAGGACCATCTGAATGACCGTTTGTTTTTTTATGTTTTTTTTATTATTATTTTGTGTGTGTGTGCGTCTGTGTGTGTGTACCGTTAAATCGGATCTGACTGGTACAGGAAGAGATTGTCCCTCCTTTCCCGACAGAGCATTTGGTGGATTTGAACCGTGTGCCTCTGGGATTGCAGTGCAGCTTCTTGCCACTAGGCCACCAGAGCTCCCCGCTGAATGACAGTTTTTAAAACAAAGATAAATTTATTAGTGTAGGAACAATACCGGCATTTATAATGAAACAGGGAGCTCTGGTGGCCTAGCAGCAAGAAGCTGCACTGCAATCTCTAAGGTACACAGTTTGAATCCACCAGATGCTCTGCTGGAGGAGGAGGGGCAATCTCCTCCTTTACCAGTCAGATCCGATTTGGCAGCACACACACACACAATAAAATAAAGTTTAAAAAAGTGCGGCAAGAAACTGCACTGCAATCCCAGAAAGATAATGAAACTAAACCTCCCTCTGATAAACCTGGCCAATGATTAATAGAGGAAGGTCCTCTCAAACTGTCCTAAACGAGATAGCAATTATAAAAAAAAATTTGTTTCAAAAAAAGCTGTAATTCCATCATGCTCTTCTGTGATCCAAATAGAAAATATTTACTGATAAGACTGACACAATGAAAGAATTCATTATCAGTCAGCAGCTGGAGCAGACTTGTCCCTGGACCCAAAGCAGGAATCCAGCAGAGCTGGGCCAAGATTCACGGCATTTTTTTGAAACCCACACATTCACGTCTGACCTTTCAGCAATTCATCCATGGCATTTCCAAACATGGATACACTACAGTCAGGGAGTCTATAAACGTGAGAACTTCAGGAAATCTTTAAGGATGATCCAAAAATCTGGACACATTCTTCCCTCTGTATCTGACCCACCCACAAGCCCCGTTGGCTTGCATAAAAAATAGTTTCCTGAAGCTACATTTCAATAACAAGAAAACAAAAATCCTCACCACTGGGCGAATGGGAAACATCATGATAGATGGAAAAAAGATTGGAAGAGTCAATGATTTCATATCACTTGGATCCATAGTCAATGGCCTTGGTACTAGCCAGCAGTCAAGAAATCAAAAGACATGTTGCTTTGGGAAAATCTGCTGTCAAGGACCTCTCTAAAGTGCTATAGGGCAATGTCAGTTTAAAGACTAAGATTCACCTTATGCGAGCCATGGTACTTTGAATTATTTGCTATGCATTTCAGACGCTCTGTAGCTGAAAGTTAGACAGCAAGTAATGATAACAGAAGAATTTTTTTTTATTTTCCTTTGTTGTGTGCCATCGAATTATATCTGACTGGCATAGGAGGAAGCTGCTCCCCCTTCTCCAGTAGAGTACCTGGTGGATTCAAACAGCAAGCCTTAGGGCTAGCCGTACAACTTCTTGCCAGTAGGTCACCAGAGCTCCCTGACAGAAGAACTAATGCCTTTGAGTGTGGTGTTGCAGAAGAGTCCTGAATATCCGATGGTGGCCAAAAGAACAGATAATGTCTTGGAGAAACTGCAACCAGGGTGCTCTTAGAAGTATGGTGAAACGCTGTCTCACACACTGTGGGCCCTTTTGTTAGGAGGGGCCAGTTCTCGGGAAAAGACATCTTTCTTGGAAACGTAGAGAGTCAGTGAAAGAGCTGAAGACCCTCAAAGAGCTGGACTGACACACAGTAACTGTAACAATGACTCTAGTATATCAGAGATGACGGCACTGGATAGGGTAGGGTTCAGATCTGTCGTTCATCGGGTCCTAGGTAGGGTTCATTGAGTCTTAGTCCACAGCACCTCAGAACAAGAACATGCATTTTCCCCAAGGCCATTGTTGCTATCTTGTCCCTGGACACTGACCTCTTGGTTCTTGCCACTGGTGTCTCAGTTTTCTCTGTTTTTATTTATTAGTCCCTCTCAAAAGTGCGCACATACATTCTCTCTGCATAATTAAAATGATGTTACGTCCCTATTGGAAGTTCTGCTGCTAGAGTAGAACAAGAACTCAATTCCAAGCTGGTCTTTCCCAGCTCCACGTGTTCTGGTCCAGCTTTCCATACCTCATACCTCCTTTGCTCTCACTCATGGGGCTCCCATCACATCTGTGCTTTCTCCAGTGCCCCATTCATTCTGTCTTGCACTAGATGTTCCAACTAGAACACTCACTCCTCTTTGCAAGGCTGATTCCACTTAATTATTCAGCTTCAAGAGAACTCTGGTGACTTAGTGGTAAGGAATTGTGCTGTCAACCCAAGGGTATGTGGTTCAAATCCACCAGCTGCTCCACGAGAGAGAGATGGGCAGTCTTCCCCCAAGTGATTTACTGCCTCTGAAAACCCACCAGAGGGTCAGGTATGGGTCAGTTCTGACTCCACGGTACACACAACAACAAATTACCTAAGTGATGAATTTGGATATAGAGTGTGGGTATCCTCTAAATAAGAGACAGCAAACTTTCTCTGTTAACTCAAAAAAGAACTCACTGCTGTTGAGTCGCTCATGACTGACCTTTCAAAAACCTAGACACGTCCTTTTCTTCATCGTCCATCTCTAAGTCATGGGCAAGTCCCATTGGTTTGCCTCCAAAATATTTCCTGAAGCTGTGCATTTTCCCCAAAACCCCTTGCCATTATCTTGGTTCTGGGTGTTATTGCCTTGGCTCTGGTCCCTTTTGTCCAAGTAGTGGCTGATGGATTTGAATTGCCTGCCTTTGGGTTGGCCAAGGTTGGGTAAGGAGTACACCTCCTTACTCACTAGAACATGAGAGCTAGAATATATTCTCATGTTCTAAACTCATTCCTATATCTTGACATATTATTACATATTATTTTAAGAGCAATGGTATAAATCTCATTAATCCCAAACCCTGTATGTTACACTATAGCACAGGACGCCAATACCTGACAAGATATGCAATATATTCTCCCCATTTAACAGAAAAAGAAAACAGATGCTCAGAGATAAGAAGCCACGTATTTAAAGTGACACAGCAATAGCCCTAAAATAGGGACCAAGGCAGTCTGAGTAGATTATTATTCTTTGACTATCTTGCATAATAAAATAATATTGTTGTTGTGTACCATAGAGTTGGAACTGACCCGTAGCTGACCCTCCAGCAGGTTTTCAGAGGTATGTGAAGAGCCCATCCTTCTCCCGTCGAGCAGCTGGTGGCCTCGAACAGCGGGCCTTTGGGATTGCAGTGCAGATTCTTGCCATTAGGCCACCAGTGCTCAAGAATGATATTAATGTTATAACAACTAATGATATGTTGTTGTGTGTGTTACCAGATCGGAACTGACTCAGAGGTGACCTTCCACAAGGCTTTCAGAGCCAGTAAAAAGGATGAGAGGAGATTGTCCATCCTTCTCCCATGAAGCAGCGGGAGGATTTGAACTACATGCCTTTGGAATTGCAACGCAGCTTCTTACCACCAAGCCACCAGAGCCCCGAGGTGCCATCCAGGTGAATTTGATGCCTGATGCCTCTCCACTGGGTTTCAGAGGTTATAAATATTACTGGCAAGGTGGGGTAGGGCTGGATGCTGCCTCATCTTTCTCTCAAGGAGCAGATGGTGGATTTGAACACTGGCCTTTTGGTTAGCAGCCTGACATTTAATCTGTTGTGCCACCACCATGGCTTCTTAACAACATACCAGGAGCTATTTAAAACACTTATCACAGATCGACTGGTACTGTTCTCCAACCAATTCTTTGAAGTAATGATTCTAAGCACATTTTGCAAGTGAGAGACATTGCTCGGCTTGTAAGTGGCAGGGGAAACCTGGATCTCGGACTCAAAAGCCTGCATTCCCGACCACGGCGGCCTCTGGGCCAGGTGTGAGCCACAGCCCCGCCCAGTCCACTTACTGGCCACTTGCAGACACACTGGGAACCACCGAGTCTTGTTCAGGAGAAACTCCTGGCAGGTGTAGTTCCCCTTGTCTTGCAGTCTCAGACTCTCGATGTGCAGGGCGCTGCCATTCACCAGGGAGAAGCGGGGTTCAGCGGGTGGGAGGCTGGAATTTGAGGACAGGAGGAAGGTGGGATCTGAGTCATTCCGGTACCAAGTCACCAGGCCCCTGGGCCCTGAGAGATTGCCACATTGGAGAGTGACATTCTCGTGATCTTCTCCAATGACAACAGCCTGCAAGTCTGCAAAAAGAAACAACACACTGTTAGTATAGCTCCTGATGTCCAAAGAAAGAACAATAAACAGTTCTTCCACATTGCTGCTGTTGCTGAGAACTGTCAGGTCTGAACCAATCCCTCGCTGACCCTCCAGTGGATTTTTAGAGGAAATTTAATCATACAGGAGGAGGCTGCCCACCTTTTTGCCCATGGGGCATCTGATGGATTTGAACCATGTTCCGTTGGATTGCAGCACAGCTTCTTACCATCCACACAGATGTTATGATACAGAACCCAAATAGTTTTGTTTGCCCAGAAACCCAGAGGGGTGGCCCAGGAAAGGCTTTAGCTTTGTTCTTGCATTTCCGCTGCTCTGACATTTCCTCCCAGTCCTGAACAATTCAAAAGCATCAGCCTTCAGTATGAATTTCCTTCCAACAACAAGAAGACAAAAAACCCTGACTGCTGGACCAATAAGCAACATCATGACCTTGACAGAGAAAAGATTGAAGTTGTCAGTAATATCGTTTGACTTAGGTCCTCTGACAATACCTTTGCTTGCCAGCAGCAGTCAGGAGATTAGGAAATGTATTGCATTAGGCAAGTCTGCTGTCAGGGGCCTCTCCAAATTACTGAGGAGAAACAATGTCAGTTTGAAGACTAAGGTGTGCCTGATTCAGGCCATGGCCTTTTCAATCACTTGCCACACATCCGAGAACTGGACAACAAATAAGGATGACAGAAGAAGAATCAACGCCTTTGAGTTATGGTGTTGGAGAAGAGTGCTGAACATCCTGTAGATCGCCATGAGAACAAATAGATATCTTGGAAAAGGTGGAACCAGAATGCTCCTTGGAGGAAAAGATAATGAATTTTTGTCCCACATATTTTGGGCATGTTGCAAAGAGAGGCTATTCCTTGGAAAGAGAGAGCAGGTTTAGAAAAGTGGAGGGTCAGGAAAAGGCAGGAAGACCCTCAACAAGATATACTGACACAGTGACTGCAGAAATGGGCTCACGTATGTCAGAGACGATGAGGACAACACAGGAAAGGATAGAGTTCAGATCTGTAGTTTATAGGGTCTGTATGAGCTGTACTTGATTTGATGGCATGTAACAATAACAGCATTCACTCCCCAGGTTCCAACACTTTCAAAGCAACTGAATATGCCTCAGCTTGGGACAGACACACCTTAGTCTTTAAGTTTACATCCTTGTGCTCTTTAGTACTTTTTAAAAGGTCCCTGGCAGCAGATTGGCCCAAAGCAGCTATACACCTTTTGATTTCTTGACCACTGCTACCATATACGTCGTTTGTGCTTCCAGGTAAAATGAATTTCTTGACAACTTCAACCTTTTCTCCATTTGTCAGGATCTTGCCTATTGGTCTAGTGACTCTGGAGTTAAAACTCTTTAACAGGATGCAGCTCATAATACTGACCCAGGGGGACAAGCTCTGAAGATGCAAAGGATAACTGAACAAAAGCCCAAAGGACTTAAATCTGAATTCTAGAGCAATGTGATAAATATCATTAGGCCTCAGAGAAGAGGCCCCTGGCCCTGTTGGAGTGAAAGGCAGGGAAGTCTCCCTCCAGGATACTACACTGAGATCAAATGGGCCAACAGGAATTACTAAAAGAAATAAGAATTACAATAGCATTCTAGAAAATATCTAACAAACAGTAAGACAGTAAAGCAGGAAACCAAACCAAATCTTTTACTCTTAATTCCAATTCACAGCAGCCCGATCCCAGGGAGCTCTGGTAGCCTAGTGGGTAAAGAGCTGAGTTGCCAACTCAAAGACACATGGTTCAAATCCACCGGCTAAGGGAGAAATATGGGCAATCTCCTCCCACGTGATTTGTTGCTGCTGTGTACCATTGAGTCAAAACCATCTCATTCGCAGTTGACCCTCCAGCAGGTTTTTAGAGGTTGTTTATTTTCATGGGAAGAGACTGTCCATCTCTCTCCAGAGAAATGCCTGGTGGATTCAAACCATGTACCTTTGAGATGGCAGCACAACTCCTTATCTCTAGGCCATTGGAAACCCTTCCATGTGATTCATTGCCTCCAAAAACCCACTGGAGCGCACATAACAAGAATTAAGCCTAGAGAATAGAGTGGACTTGCCCCACAGGCTGTAAATTTTTACACAAGCAGATTGCTACACCTTTCTCCCATGGAGCGGCTGGTGGGTTAGAACAGCCAACCTTATGGTTAGCAGCAGAGAGCTTAACCACTGGATCATCAAGGGCTCCTATGAAGATGGAGGGGAAAGGCTTACCACAAACAGAAAACTAATAAAAAAAAATGGCCCATATAGATATTACCTTATCAGTAATTACATTACATGTAAATGGATTACACTATCCAAAGTGTGAGGTTGGCAGAATGGATTTTTAAAAATTATATTATTATTATTATTA